GGAATGATGTTGTGTGTGCATTACCTATAGCCCTCCTCTAATAGTTGGACGCAGGTGTGGCTTCCAATGTATCCTGCGCCTCCAGTGACCAAAATAGTGCCTTTATCGGATGTACCATTAGCACGCCACTCTGAACCTTCTTGATTTGAACTAGCCATGAGGCCGACAGTAGATAAGGATTCCAAGCCTTACGATGCAGTCTAGATTGTGAACACGGAAACAATTAGGTCAGAACTTCCTTGAGAGCAAGAAATAAGAATGTCCAGCAAGAAGTGGCGAGAGGAATTTATACAGCTGCCGGCAGTGGTCAGAGGAGCGTTCCTTGGGTTCGATTCAGTTCAGTCACTGAAATGGAATCCCCGGGGGGATGTGCAGTGCAGGTCTCCCTATTTGTTGGGCATGCGGAGTTCGGTTCTGCGGTGGTGGGAAAAGAGGAGATTCTCGAGGTGGGGCTCGCGTGCCGCGCACCTCGTGGCCACTGGGTGTGCAACAAATCTTATCACTGCACCCGTGCCGCAGGATTGAAGTTCAAGGGATCCTCCGAATGCTTCAACGGTTTAGATATTGCCTTGAGCTTCCCAGGTTTGTGACTGGCTGAACAAGACGGCGGCGCCTTCGGTCTTGCTGTAGAGCGATGGGCAAGCTGGAAGCCCCAGCACCTGTCGCTCCTTCCCCGATTCCCCCGCGCAAGGACGCTGGCGTGTGACATGTGGGACGACATGCTACCACCTGTAAGTCGAGACATCGCCTACGAATCACCGAATATTGTAGCAAAACTGCCCGTGAAGCGAAAACGATGAGTGTGGGTGGTAACTACTCATGGGGGCTTCGCTTTGCCCCCTGTGGTTTGGGAAGCCTATTGTGACGTGTCGATGCATCAGCGGGGATGAGTTACGACCAGTGATCCAGCCGTGGCAGGCAGTTGTCCAACACGAGCCAGCAATGGGGTGATTGGCGCCAGCAGAATTCCTCCCAAGCGCAGCACTGCTTTTGTCGATTGCGAGTTCGATACAGGTCCTGGTAGTGAAGCAATGAGGCAACTTACATTTCAGTAGCTAGGAATAAGAGTTTGACTTTTGCTATCGGATGGCTTTGGTGCGACGTTTGTTCATGTGATTGCACCCTGTATGAGTCATGGAGCAGAAGTATATCGGAGCAGATTCTGACAAGACGGCTAACGTGGTCGCCAGCACACTAGGTAGAACCCTTGAGTCACCATACTGGTGTTGGCGACCGTGTCACCTGCTGACTCTGCCACTCCTGCTGACGCAACACAAACACTAGCTCTCAGGGCGCCATGTGTGCAGTTTTGTTTGAAACAGACGTGGCATGACGCCAGTTCAAACCTGCTGACATCTACCTGATGCTGGCAAGCCCCATCACATCATGTGTCAACAATGTCCAGCATGCGGGGCCCTGCAATCCCGCTCAACCTACCAGATTTTCTTTTAACCTCGCAAATCTCAAGCAAAGAGAAATTAGGGGGGAATGCGACATATTTTTCTGAGACTATTTTCAGCACCAAGAACACAGCTAGCTCCTATCTCATTCATTGCACAGCGCATTCCATCTTCATTAGGCTCTGTTCGATCTTCACTAGACGAGCGTATAGGCGACTCTCGGTAAACGGTTCTCTCTGTATTTGGTTCAAGCCGTTAACCCTGGAACCATGAAGCCTGCTCACCATCACGAGAGCCATCAGCAGGAGAATGAGCACAAGAAGAATGTGCAGAAAGGGATAGAGCGTATGGAACGCCATTCTGGTACGGATTCGCTGGGATATATTTCTGGGAAATACGTATATATACAAAAACCGAAGAATAGTTGTGATTGTTATTTATGTGCACTGACGGTTGTTAATCTCCTGTCTTCTATACTTCTCGTCCGTGTCCTGTGTAGGAACCGGCGTTCGCGGAGATCCCAAAAAAGGTATTTACTCAGTGAATCACTCACAAATCTGTTCTCCTCTCGATGGAAGAATGGCACTTCAATTTTATATAGCGAGTCGTCAATTCATTTGTTCCTCGACGGCCGCCCCAGCTGTTTTAAACGGATGTAGAATGTGACTTCATTTTTTTCTGACCCTGCCTTTCTTAGGGGGGGGCGGAGGGAAGCACACGTGGGGAAATGTTGGAGCGGAGTTCGAGCCCGTGGCGGCCGCTCTGGATAAGAACGACCCCAACTACGACCCTGATGCAGGCGAGGAGCAGCTCCAAGAGAGGTGCGTGTGGCTTGCGCATGGGTCCGCTATAGCTTGCGTGTCGCTCGGGTGTGGCTCAGCTGTGGCTTACTGGTGGCATGCGCGTGCCCTCCATCGTATTCAAGATTCTTTCACCCATCTGTTTATCTGAACCCCACACTTGACGAAATGGAAAGAGTCTTTCCCGAGCCCCTTCCGCGTGTCTTGTTTCCAGCTGGCTTAAATTAACAGAATGAGCCAACTACTTTCTGAGAATGCTTTCACGCACATTGTATCACATTCGTTCAGGTCCGTTGAGCCGTTGGAGATGCCCGAATCCAAAAAGATCGTCATGGACTGATGGCCAGCCACGGGGGTGGGGGCATTCGACACTATGGTCATCAGCTGCTCTTTCTCACTGCATTCCCTTGATAAGTTGTGCACGTCAGCATACACTTAGGAGAATTTTGGGGGATTGTTGCGGCGCTCCAAATCTGTTTAGATAGCCTTTAGAAAATGAGCCTGATCCTAGCCGATGCCAGAGCGTTGGGCTGCCCCTCAGGATTTTGGACAAACATGTTGATGGGTTGGTTGGAAGGACGGATGGATGAGTTTCCAATGCTGGAAAGGGGGCATGGGCATCACTAATGCCACATCTGCACCTGATTGTGCTACCTTTACCAACATTCATTTTCACATTGTAAATGCTGACATGGTGAATGCTATTGTCTCTAGCACAATTTAAGTTTGAATGTCTAGTGCAGTTTCACATATGTCTCGTGCTGAACTGGGCTGGATTGTGTTCGTCCATAAGTCAGTCTTATTGAGTCCGCTGAGGATAAACCCTTCACATAAGTAATTGGTGTAGTGTTTACATTCACTTCATCTGTGCATAAAAACAAAAGTAAAATATATGATCCATACTAAGTGTAACTTTTTCGAGTGGGCTGTTCGCTGCACCTCTTGTTACTGCCACCCCCGGCCCGAACCGTCGGATCGAGTGTAGTGCTATGTAGCTGGGGAGAACAGTGTGCACAGCCGCGCGGGAGGTGGGCATCTTCAATCTGCTGACCTGGCGGCTCCCAGCAGCACAGCATGCCACCTTGCTGCAGGCAGCGTGTCACTGTTGTATGACCCAGAAAGGATTGGGTTTCTGGGGCGATCCCTTGACGTGTCGTCAGCCACAGTCCTCCATCAAATGTTGATGCGGCGATTTTCACAGACGCTGCCCCTGCCAGCGTGTCCTTCTGGATGAGATCGCTTTCCTGCGAACTTGGGACAGGACAGACCCCAAAAGTACAAATATCTGGGTCCAGCGTGGCAGCTTTCACGTTGTTTTCACGTTGCTTTCACGTTCTCACCCATCTCCAGAGTGCGATCAAAACTTCCCGCACGACTCCATCTACGATCTGTGATCGCATCTCAACTCTTGTTGGTAAGGCCCAACCGTCCGATCATGTGGGGTGTTCGCACGTTGGGGACCTCTGAACAATTGCGACATCCACATTCGTTCTCCCTCACCTCATCACCTGCCCAATCTCTTGCACGTGTGAAGTGCACTTTTTCGCTGTCCCAAGTTCGAAGTTGGGACAGCCCAGGAAGGCCATCTGAGTCATTTTGGCGCGGAACTGAGTGACAGTTCTTGGTTCGCTCAACCATAGGCAGCTTCGCAAAGTTGCTACAGTTCCGAGCCTTCAGTTCCCGCCTTCTGGTCCAAGTACAGGCCGATCCATCCATCATCGTGAGGCATCGCGCTTCGGATGGGTGGTTTGTGTATGAGCCCATAAGCCATACCCCTCGGGACTGCTGCAAGCCAGCAATCCGCCGCCCTGAACTGTACAAACGAATGCTGACACGCCTGAAACGCGTCGTGGTCGTGGAATGGTAAGGGTCGGCCCTCGGCAAATCGAAACAGCAGGATTTCACGTGGGGCAGATTGGTCGCAATTACGAAGTTTAAATATCGGAGAATGGCGGAACGGCGTTGACAACGAGCAGTTCGTAAAGAAACAATTCATGAAAATAGAATGTACAGCGTGCGATCTGGTCACCTACAAATTTATTTTGACAGGCAGCAAGTGGTGGTGGTGACCACCACACCCCTTTCAAGTGGTGATAGGTACAGTACCACCACCACACCACACTCCTCACAACGGGTGGCGGTGAGGTGAGTACACTGCTCACTGTACAACCGCCTCCTCATAAGTGCTCCCAGGTGACCCCCCTGCTCCATCCATGCCTTGCCGCTTGCTTCTCAGATAGCCTCCTCACAGACCAAGGACACGAAAAACACCCGCCAAGTATGACGGCCAAAAAATTACCGCGAACCAGAGCTGCACTCTGAGCAGCCAAAACCTATCAGGCCCCAACCACCTACGCGACTCGACGCGACGCGGCGCATGTTAGGTTATTCTTCCTCAAGTTGTGAATCACCTCCTTTTCTTCTACATCTATAAAGTAACGTGACTTCGTTCTCCACACTATAGCACATAGTTTGAACTTCATATTTCAGTAAACGATTTTCACGAGGAAGGCCCTGGAGATCCAACACCACTCGCCCACGACGCCAACCTTCAACTCGCCACCATCCTCAGACCGCCCCCCGCCCAGCCTACCATCTAACTCCAGAGGTAAGCATGGCGTACATCAGCTTGTAATTATCGTAGCAATTTTTTTTTTTTTTTTTTTTTTTTTTTTTTTTTTTTTTTTTTTTTTTTTTTTATGTCCATCTTGAAACGTCTGCTGACTTACCTTTTGTTGCGTTTTGGCAGGCAAACCCGTCCTCAAGTTGGCCATGGAAGCTCTCAAGCACGTCAACTATAATGCTCAACAGCTGCTGTTCAACATCGCTGCTGCTCAAATTTTCTGCTGCACAGGAAGCTCTTCTCAACGATTTTCCTTTGGAGATCGCCACCACCATTCGCTCCCAGCACCAACCGTCAACCCGCCACCAGCCACACTCCGCCCCTCGCCCAGCCTACCTTACAAACTCCAGAGGTAAGCGTTTCTTTTTAAACCGTTCGCTGGTTTTCCTTGCCTTGTTTGCCTTGAGTTAATTCAGTTCCGAATCTGATTTTTAGTGTTTCAATTTGAAAATCCAAATCTGGCTTTGTTTCTAACTCATTTTCGTTTGAATACTTCCATGGTCAACCCCCCAGGCCACGAGAAGCAAGTCCCTGAGGCCACGAGAAGCAAGTCCCTGAGGCCACGAGAAGCAAGTCCCTGAGGCCACGAGAAGCAAGTCCCTGAGGCCACGAGAAGCAAGTCCCTGAGGCCACGAGAAGCAAGTCCCTGAGGCCACGAGAAGCAAGTCCCTGAGGCCACGAGAAGCAAGTCCCTGAGGCCACGAGAAGCAAGTCCCTGAGGCCACGAGAAGCAAGTCCCTGAGGCCACGAGAAGCAAGTCCCTGAGGCCACGAGAAGCAAGTCCCTGAGGCCACGAGAAGCAAGTCCCTGAGGCCATGAGAAGCAAGTCCTCAAGATGGAGATCGCCCACCACCACTCGCCTCCACCGCCAATCTGCAATCCGCACCCATCCGTACACCGCCCCCCGCCCCGCCTACCAACCGATCTCCCAAGGTAAGCTCGCCTGGTTCAGTTCCAGATCTGGTTTTATTCGTGTTTTAAATTGAATGTCCAAATCTGGATTTTTTTTTAACTCCGGTTTGTTTGAATATTTGCAGGTTAAACCGGGGCTGCCAAGAACATTGTTGAAGCTCTAGAGCCGTGGAATCACAATTCAAGTCAACGAATTTTGGACCCCCGCCCCGCCCCGCCTACCAACCGATCTCCCAACGAATATTTTTGTTGAAGCTCTGGAGATCCGCTACCGTCTGCCACCATCACCATCTACCTTAATCAAACTTCTTCATCAGAGGTAAGAAGACTTGACTTCATGCCTATTTGAAAATCTTGCCGTACTGCACAACCTTTTATTTTCTCATGATGTCCAAAATTGACTCTGTTTTTGTTTCAACCTTGGCAGATCAAGTGCTTTGGTTGTCAGCATGCCCATGAGCCCATTGATCCGCTGCTCAACCCGTGCTACTTCATCCCGTTGTTGCTGGATTCAACGCTTTTTTCGTGTTGACGGGCGACGACTGCTCCAACTTCAACTGATCGGGAAGTGTCGTTCTCTTCCTCGTTTTCATTGCTCGATTTATCGTCGTTTCGTTGTGCAACCATCCCACTCCGCCTTCCGCCTTTGTCGTTTATCAACGTTTCCACCGTCCCTCTGGCGCCAAGGCTGTAGCTACAGATGATCCTCCGCGGTTGGGTTGGGAACGGGTAGATTAGATCCTCCCTCTGCTGGCTGCAGCCGAAGCGCCATGGACGATCCCATCCTGTTTGTTTACATCGTCTGTTACCGCTTTCGTTTTCTTCATTCTCGTTTTTGTTTTTTTCGCATTCGGTTTTGTCTTTGCTTTTTCTAGTGTTTCTTCTGTTTCTGTTTTCTAACTTCGTGCCTAGTGTGTGTTTCCTCCCATTCTTTTCAGCAATAGTGGTGTGGCTGCTGCGGAGCTTCGAACGAGCTCGAAGGCATCTTCAGTCATCCAAGCTTCAACAAATTGATAGCTATGGTAAGCTTTTCTCCCTTCACCCTTTACCCAAACTTTCTTTAATGAGTTCATCAATGTTTCTTTACTAATTTCTTTTTCTGGTTTTGTGCAGAGTTCAAGAAGACGGATCCAGGTTGATCCTTCAAGGCACGGCCGATTCCTTAACGCTTTGCAGCCCAGAAACGCTGGTAAGCTCTTCTTTCTTTACGCTTTGCAGCCCTTAAAACGTCTCGTGTTTTTTTTTCCGCTGTATTACTTGCAATTCGTAGCCGTTTACATGTTTTCAGCAATGTTTTCTTACTAATGTCTTGTTGTGGATCTGTGCAGAGTTGAAGGAATCGGATCCAGGCTTATCCTTCAATGAGACTGATCCCTTCAAGGCAAGGCTGGCGTGGGATTTCCAAGGGCTGCGTTGGAGCTTCAACCACTTGGAGAAAGGGTAAGCTCTTCTCCCTTTACCTTGTTCAGCCCTTGAAGCGTTTCTTGTTCTTTTCAGCTGTATTACTACCATTTTATGTTTTCAGCAATTTTTCCTTACTAACTTCTTGTTGTGGATCTCTGCAGAGTTGAAGAAAACGGATCCAGGCTGATCCCTTCAATGAGCCACCCTTAAAGGCATGGCTGATCCTTTCAAGGCAAGGCTGGCGTGGGATTTTCAAGGGCTGCAGAGGAGCTTCAACCACTTGGAGAAAGGGTAAGCTCTTCTCCCTATACGCTTTGCAGCCCTTGAAGCGTTTCTTATTCTTTTCAGCCGTGCTACTTGCAATTCGTAGCCTTTTATATGTTTTCAGCAATGTTCTCTTACTAATGTCTTGTTGTGGATCTGTGCAGAGTTGAAGGAAACTGATCCAGGCCCATCGTTCAATGAGCTACCCTTGAAGGCATGGCTGATCCCTTCAAGGCAAGGCTGGCGTGGGAATTCCAAGGGCTGCAGAGGAGCTTCAGCCACTTGGAGAAGGGGTAAGCTCTTCCCCCTTAACGCTTAGCAGCCCTTAAAACGTCTCGTGTTCTTTCCCGCTGTATTACTTGCAATTTGTAGCCGTTTATATGTTTTCAGCAATGTTTCCTTACTAATGTGTTGTTGTGGATCTGTGCAGAGTTGAAGGAAACTGATCCAGGCTTATCCTTCAATGAGCTACCCTTGAAGGCATGGCTGATCCGTTCAAGGCAAGGCTGGCGTGGGAATTCCAAGTGCTGCAGAGGAGCTTCAACCACTTGGAGAAAGGGTAAGCTCTTCTCCCTTGACCCTGTTCAGCCCTTGAAGCGTTTCTTGTTCTTTTCAGCTGTATTACTACCATTCCATAGCTTTTATGTTTTCAGCAATTTTTCCTTACTAACTTCTTGTTGTGGATCCCTGCAGAGTTGAAGAAAACGGGTCCAGGCTGATCCCTTCAATGAGCCACCCTTGAAGGCACGGCTGATCCTTTCAAGGCAAGGTTGGCGTGGGACTTTCAAGGGCTGCAGAGGAGCTTCAACCACTTGGAGAAAGGGTAAGCTCTTCTCTCTTTACGCTTTGCAGCCCTAGAAACGTTTCCTGTCCTTTTCAGCTGTAGTACATGCAATTCGTAGCCTTTTATATGTTTTCAGCAATGTTCTCTTACTCATGTCTTATTGTGGATCTGTGCAGAGTTGAAGGAAACTGATCCAGGCTTATCGTTCAATGAGCTACCCTTGAAGGCAAGGCAAGGCTGGCGTGGGATTTCCAAGGGCTGCAGAGGAGCTTCAACCACTTGGAGAAAGGGTAAGCTCTTCTCCCTTTACGCTTTGCAGCCCTAGAAACGTTTCCGGTCCTTTTCAGCTGTAGTACTTGCAGTTCGTAGCCTTTTATATGTTTTCAGCAATGTTCCCTTACTACAGTCTTGTTGTGGATCTGTGCAGAGTTGAAGGTATCGGATCCAGGCTTATCCTTCAATAAGCTACCCTTGAAGGCTTTACTGATCCCTTCAAGGTAAGGCTGGCGTGGAATTCCCAAGGGCTGTAGAGGAGCTTCCGCCAGGATGCGTCTGTGAAGCCAAGGGAGCAGCTGTGAAGCCACTTGGAGGCCACGGTAAGCTTCTTCATCCTTGACCTGTTGAGCACCTTACCATATCAGCTTCATTGTTTGCTATGCAGAGTTTCTTCTCCGTTTTCACCTTTCATTACTAATATGCTGTAAATGTTTTGTGCAGATCTTAAAGAAGCTGCCAAGTGGCTGAAGATTCTTGAATTCGCTATCTGCACCCTTGAAGCTGCCTGGATGCATCCTCGATGTCGCCACCTTCACCTGTGAAGCCGCCAGGATGCCCGTCAAGCCAAGGGAGCAGCTGTGAAGCCACGGTAAGTTTCTTCAATCTTGACCACTTTTGCACCTCTCCCATTTTAGCTTTGCTGCTGACTTCGTAGATCTTCTTTTTTTATTTAACTGTTCTTCCTTCGTTATTGATACGATGTTAATGTATCGTGCAGATCTTAAGGAAGCCGCCAAGGAGCTGAAGATTCTTGAAGTCGCCACCTGCACCAATGGTGCCGCCTGGATGGATCCGTGAAGTCGCCAACTGCACCTGTGAACCCGCCAGGATGCGTCTGTGAAGCCGCCAGGATCCGTCTGAAGCCCAGGGAGCATTCGTGTAGCCACTATAGACCATGGTAAGCTTCTTCATCCTTGACCTCTTGAGCACCTTACCCAAATCAGCTTCATCCTTGCTATGCAGATTTCCTTCTCCGTTTTCAGCTTTCCTTCTTTCAGTTCTAATATGTTGTAAATGATTTGTGCAGATCTTAAAGAAGCTGCCAAGGAGCGGCGTACGACTCAGCGGCCTAAGGAGCAGCCTATGACTCAGCAGCCTAAGGAGCAGAATCAGCAGCCTAAGGAGCATCAGCCTACGACTCAGCAGCCCAAGGATCAGTTGCCTACAACTCAGGAGCCTAATGATCAGCAGCCTACGACTCAGCAGCCCATGGAGCAGATTACGACGAAGAGCAGCCCTGAACCTTGAAGGGTTGAAGCAGCCTGGTGCAGACAAGGGGAGATGCGGCCTGGTTGAGAGGAGAGGTGAACCCCGAACCCTGAGCATCAGCCTACGACTCAGCAGCCCAAGGATCAGTTGCCTACAACTCAGGAGCCTAATGATCAGCAGCCTACGACTCAGCAGCCCATGGAGCAGATTACGACGAAGAGCAGCCCTGAACCTTGAAGGGTTGAAGCAGCCTGGTGCAGACAAGGGGAGATGCGGCCTGGTTGAGAGGAGAGGTGAACCCCGAACCCTGTGGAGGCGGAGTATTGGCTGCGGAAGTGGTTGCTGGGCTGCGGGAGCGGAGTTAGGGCTGCAGAAACGGATTAGGCGCTGCGGAGGCTGAGTAGGGCTGCGGAAGCTGATTATGAGCTGCGTAAGCTGAGTATGAGCGGCGGAAGCTGAGTAGGCGCTGCGGAAGCGGAGTATGGGCTGTGGAAGTGGTTGCTGGGCTGCGGAAGCGGAGGCTGGGCGGGAGGGATGTGGCGAAGCAGTCTACAGGGAAGCAGCGTAGCACCCAACAGGGTTGGAGCGTAGCAGCCTACAGGGAAGCAGCGTAGTCAGAGGCTGGGCCGCAAGGAGTAGACGGAGGAGGAGGCTGCGGAAGCGATTGCTGCGGAAGCGGAGGCTTGGCGGGATGGATGTGGCAAAGCAGTGGAGGGATGTGGGGAAGGGTTGCGCGGATGGTGGCTAGATGGGAGCTCAAGGGTGGCCTAAGAGGTGGCTGAGTCTAGTGTGTGGCTCAGCCGGTCCTAAGGCGAGTGGCGCGGTGTGGGTGTGGCCTCGGCGGTGATGTGATGGAGGACGGGCCGGTGCTTGGTTCTGGCAGTGCAAAGTCGCCCGGGAGGCTTTGCACTGCCTGGGCCCAGAATCAAGCAGACCGGGTACCTTACCCTCCAGGTAGCATCACTGTTGGGGTTACACTTGCACCACAAAGTCTGCACCGCACAGGGGTGGGTGCGGGGGACTTGAGTCACTCTTAAGAGAAGGGAGACCGCACTGGCGAGGGTGCGGAGATCTTCTCTTACCTCTGAATGATGAGTCCACACTGGCGTGGGTGTGGAAATACTCATTTTAGGTCCACCTGAGAGTTTCCGTTTAGGAGGCTTGCGGTTTCACTTAAAGCCTCGGAGCTTTCTCACACTGGCGTGGGTGTCTGATGCAGCAGCCGCCTGATGCAGTTAGGGGGAGCAGCCGCCTGGAGCAGTTAAGGGGAGCAGCCGCCTGGAGCAGTTAAGGGGAGCAGCCGCCTGGAGCAGTTAAGGGGAGCAGCCGCCTGGTGCAGTTATGGGGAGCAGCCGCCTGGAGCAGTTAAGGGGAGGAGCCGCCTGGAGCAGTTAAGTGGAGCAGCCGCCTAGAGCAGTTAAGGGGAGCAGCCACCTGGAGCAGTTAAGGGAAGCAGCCGCCTGGAGCAGTTAAGGGGAGATGTCACCTGCAGACAAGAACCCCTAAACCGCCCCTGGTGCAGAGAGGGGAGAAGCCGCCTCCTGGTGCAGAGACGGGGAGAGAGGAACCTCTAAACTAAACCCTGAAGGGGAGAGCAGCCGCCTGTTGCAGAGAAGGGGAGAAGAACCCGAAACCCTGAAGGGGAGTAGCAGCCTGGTTCAGAGAAGTGGAGGAATAGCCTGTTTCAAAGGGGAAGGGGAGTAGCAGCCTGGTTCAGAGGAGAAAGGAAGTAGCAGCCTGGTTCAGAGGAGAAGGGGAGTAGCAGCCTGGTTCAGAGGAGAAGGGGAGTAGCAGCCTGGTTCAGAGGAGAAGGGGAGTAGCAGCCTGGTTCAGAGGAGAAGGGGAGCAGCAGCCTGGTTCAGAGGAGAAGGGGAGTAGCAGCCTGGTTCAGAGGAGAAGGGGAGTAGCAGCCTGGTTCAGAGGAGAAGGGGAGTAGCAGCCTGGTTCAGAGGAGAAGGGGAGTAGCAGCCTGGTTCAGAGGAGAAGGGGAGTAGCAGCCTGGTTCAGAGGAGAAGGGGAGTAGCAGCCTGGTTCAGAGAAGGGGAGTAGCAGCCTGGTTCAGAGGAGAAGGGGAGTAGCAGCCTGGTTCAGAGGAGAAGGGGAGTAGCAGCCTGGTTCAGAGGAGAAGGGGAGTAGCAGCCTGGTTCAGAGGAGAAGGGGAGTAGCAGCCTGGTTCAGAGGAGAAGGGGAGTAGCAGCCTGGTTCAGAGGAGAAGGGGAGTAGCAGCCTGGTTCAGAGGAGAAGGGGAGTAGCAGCCTGGTTCAGAGGAGAAGGGGAGTAGCAGCCTGGTTCAGAGGAGAAGGGGAGTAGCAGCCTGGTTCAGAGGAGAAGGGGAGTAGCAGCCTGGTTCAGAGGAGAAGGGGAGTAGCAGCCTGGTTCAGAGGAGAAGGGGAGTAGCAGCCTGGTTCAGAGGAGAAGGGGAGTAGCAGCCTGGTTCAGAGGAGAAGGGGAGTAGCAGCCTGGTTCAGAGGAGAAGGGGAGTAGCAGCCTGGTTCAGAGGAGAAGGGGAGTAGCAGCCTGGTTCAGAGGAGAAGGGGAGTAGCAGCCTGGTTCAGAGGAGAAGGGGAGTAGCAGCCTGGTTCAGAGGAGAAGGGGAGTAGCAGCCTGGTTCAGAGGAGAAGGGGAGTAGCAGCCTGGTTCAGAGGAGAAGGGGAGTAGCAGCCTGGTTCAGAGGAGAAGGGGAGTAGCAGCCTGGTTCAGAGGAGAAGGGGAGTAGCAGCCTGGTTCAGAGGAGAAGGGGAGTAGCAGCCTGGTTCAGAGGAGAAGGGGAGTAGCAGCCTGGTTCAGAGGAGAAGGGGAGTAGCAGCCTGGTTCAGAGGAGAAGGGGAGTAGCAGCCTGGTTCAGAGGAGAAGGGGAGTAGCAGCCTGGTTCAGAGGAGAAGGGGAGTAGCAGCCTGGTTCAGAGGAGAAGGGGAGTAGCAGCCTGGTTCAGAGGAGAAGGGGAGTAGCAGCCTGGTGCAGAGAGGAAAGGGTGCAGCAGCCTGCAGCCTGGTGCAAGAGTTGGGAAGCTGCTAAGGGGTGGAGGAGTTGGGAGTTGATGTGCAGCAGAAGCGACGTGCATCAACAGCGACCATGGAGGTTTTTTAGCCGAGCGTACGGCACGCACCTCATCTTGAGGAAGTCAGCCCGTCGGCATCCAAGGGGATGTGGCGGGACGGATTTTTTTATCCATGGTTTGCGCACGCGCTGAAAAAAAAAAAAAAAAAAACTTGGGAGTGGTGTGGTACCGTCACCCCCCGGATATACCCCCATGGGGGGCAATAATAAAACAGGTTTTTTCAAGGGGGTGGGCTTATAATCGAGTAAATTTATAAGCGCCGGCGTTTATAAAATGACATTCATATTTTTTATATTTTTTAACACCAAACTGTAGGTCTCGTGCTTGCCCTTTCAATCGAGTCGAATTTACATGGGGTCGTCTGTGAAATTCTCGCGCGCGCTGGGAGACACACCCAATCTGACTCACATCCAGCTCCTGACAGCTCCTGCTGACTGGACCCGCATCCAGTGCAGGGTCCGAATGTGAAGGGAACCGAATCTGCAACATATCTGCCTGCTAAAGTAAAAATCATTACAACGTTTTGTACACATTTCAAATTTTAAAGTTTACGTGCGCTTATAATAAAACTAGTTTTTTCAGGGGGTGCGCTTATAATCGAGGAGGGGATATAAGCGCCATATGCCAATTAGAAGCGCCAGGCGCTTATCCTAGGGTGGCGCTTATATCCGGGGGGTGACGGTATTAGTTTTGGAGAGCTGACATAGGTGAGGTAGACTTGGTAGCCTTAGTGTTGTACAGCTTGTACCAATTATGATTGGAGATTGACCGGTGCTCACATGTTCTTGTGAGCAAGTACAGTAAGAGAAGGCGTGATCTTTTGTAGCGAGAGCAAGCATGATCTGTAGTACAGTAAGAGCAAGCACTATCCCTTGTACAGTAAGAGCAAGCATTATCCCCTGTACACTAAAAGCTAGCGTGATTCCTTGTACAGTAAGAGCAAGCATGATCCTTTGTATAGTAAGAGCAAGCATGATCCTTTGTACAGTAAGAGCAAGCATGATTCCTTGTATTGTACCTATTCAATTTCCTCCCTACTGGCATCCAACCACATGGTGGAAAACCAACCAGGCATTTAATACAACCTCCAGTTCCGCAACATACAAATAGATCAAGCAAACAGTAGTGGGACCACACAAGACAAGCTGGATTGAGAAACAGTAGTAGGACCACAGTAGTAGTCCTTGTACAGTTCTACGAGGATGCAGAGGCGAGTCAACAATGGTTCTAGCATGTGCTGCAGAGCTACCAAGTGCTGCAGAGTCAACAAAAAGGCAATTCCAAGTCCTCGGTTTAGGGTGCCATTAAAGTGGAGTGCCATTTAAAGTCGGGTGCCCATTTGAATCAGCTCTGCCAGGAGGCGGAGTCGGGCAGAGCAGGCGCGCTCCTCAGCAGCCGCTCCAACTGATCGTTCACCTCCGCCTGCTGCTTCCACTCCTGGTGGTGGAGGGGTGAGTGGAAGGAGAGAAAGGGAGGGGGAGAAGGGACACAGGGAAACAGTGCATCGCTTCTCAGCAGCCGCTCCAACTCATCGTTCACCTCCGCCTGGTGGTGGGGGGAGAGAGGGAGGGTTAGACACATGGAAGCAGTAAGAAGGGAAGCAGTAAGAAGGGAAACAGTAAGAAGGGAAGCAGTAAGAAGGGAAGCAGTAAGAAGTGAAGCAGTAAGAAGGGAAGCAGTAAGAAGGGAAGCAGTAAGAAGGGAAGCAGTAAGAAGGGAAGCCGTAAGAAGGGAAGCAGTAAGAAGGGAAGAAGTAAGAAGGGAAGCAGTAAGAAGGGAAGCAGTAAGAAGGGAAGCAGTAAGAAGGGAAGCAGCAAGAAGGGAAGCAGTAAGAAGGGAAGCAGCAAGAAGGGAAGCAGCAAGAAGGGAAGCAGCAAGAAGGGAAGCAGCAAGAAGGGAAGCAGCAAGAAGGGAAGCAGCAAGAAGGGAAGCAGCAAGAAGGGAAGCAGCAAGAAGGGAAGCAGCAAGAAGGGAAGCAGCAAGAAGGGAAGCAGCAAGAAGGGAAGCAGCAAGAAGGGAAGCAGCAAGAAGGGAAGCACCCCAATTCATCGTTCACCTCCGCCTGTTGCTTCCACTCCTGGTGGTGGGGATGGAGGGGGAGGAAGAGGGGGTTGGGACACAGGGAAACAGTCGCGAGCGACGCTCACTGATGTAGCCTCAAGGCTCACCTTTCAGCTGATGTAGCCTCAAGGCTCACCTTTCAGCTGATGTAGCCTCAAGGCTCACCTTTCAGCTGATGTAGCCTCAAGGCTCACCTTTCAGCTGATGTAGCCTCAAGGCTCACCTTTCAGCTGCCCGTACAGCGGCTGGATGCCATCACAGGTCACACCCACTCACCCATCACTTACCTCGCGAAGCCTCCACTTTCAACTTCTGCAAGCTCTCCATCAGCCACTCGATCTCACCCGCACTTTGACCACCTCACAGCACTATGTCCCTGCATCTCCCACTCCCCACACCGCCTGCCAGCAATTAGTCCTGCGCTGTGCCTCACCTTCTGCAAGCTCTCCACCTCCATCAGCCGCTCGATCTGGTCCGCTATGCTCGCCTGCTCTCAGACACAAAGCACAGTACCACGGCTCACAGCATGGCACACAGCATGGCACACAGAATGGCACACAGCATGGCACACAGCATGGCACACAGAATGGCACACAGCATGGCACACAGCATGGCACACAGCATGGCACACAGCATGGCACACAGCATGGCACACAGCATGGCACACAGCATGGCACACAGCATGGCACACAGCATGGCAGCATGGTACACAGCATGGCACATACACACACACGGAGGTCAGTAAGGGATGCACTAAGGGCTGCAGAGAGAAACAGGAAGGGCAGAAGAAGAAAAAACAACAGACCGAGGGGAGAAGGACTCACCGCAGCCCCTGCTGCCTCTGCCGTGGGCACGTCTGCATCCATCTCCACCTCTATCTCTATCATTGATAGCACCTGCGGTCAGAAGGGCAGGGCAGGGGGGAGGGCAGGGTGGAGGGCAGGGTGGAGGGCAGGGTGGAGGGGGGTGGAGGGCACAATAGGAAGGAGTGGAAGTTACTCTGATCTAGCATACCCCGTCTAGTCCCGGCTGCCTGTGCCATTGGCACGTCTGCATCCATCTCCACCTCTATCTCTATCATTGATAGCACCTGCGGTCAGAAGGGCAGGGCAGGGGGGAGGGCAGGGTGGAGGGCAGGGTGGAGGGCACAATAGGAAGGAGTGGAAGTTACTCTGATCTAGCATACCCCGTCTAGTCCCGGCTGCCTGTGCCATTGGCACGTCTGCATCCATCTCGATCAGTGACAGCACCTGCAGACAAAGGGATAGGGCAGAGGGGCATGGTGGAGTGGCAGGGTGTGAGTGGGTGGAGAACACAAAAAGCAGGGCAGGGAAAAGTGTGCCGTTCTGGTTCATAAAGCATGTCCATTCTGGCCCGAGAGTTCCGGGTTTTGATTATTGGAAATCCATCTGCTGAGACTCTGGCATCACCTTCATCTCTGCATCTGGCAGCATCTGGCAGGAAGGGCGTGGCAGCAAGCAGGCATGGCTGTTACAAAGGTTGATTTGTGACCGATTCTTTTATTTTCGTGGTCAGAAGCAACTCAGCTTACCTTGGCGTAGCTGTCCACGAGGTTGATTCGCGCCAGCAGCCGCTGGTCCAGCCCCTTGCGAGCTGCCACCACCCTCTCCCACCGCGCACTGCCATGCACGCATAGGAAGAGCGTGGAGGAGCATGGGGGACAGGAGGGAGTGGCGCAGCGTAGTGGGGGTAGAACGGGGTATGAGGGGGAAGGCCATGCAAATTGTTAATCCAGCCCCTTGCGAGCTGCCACCACTCGCTCCCACTGCGCACTGCCATGCCATGCATGCTTAGGAACATGGTGAATGAAGGGCAGGAGGAGCATGGGAGTGGGCATCATAAGGGGGATAGAAGGGGATATGAGGGGAGGAAGTGCTGGTGCAGCCCCTTGCACGCCGCCACCACGCTCTCCCCCCGCGCAATGCCATGCATAAGGAGGAGCGTGGAGGATGGGCAGAAGCATGGGGGATGGGGCAGCATGATGGGGTATGAGGGGGGTATGCGGATGGAAAGGCCATGCAAATTGCTGGTCCAGCCCCTTGCTGGGCGCCACCACTCGCTCCCACCGCGCACTGCCATGCCATGCCATGCCATGCGTGCATAGGAACAGTGTGGATGAAGGGCAGGAGGAGCATGGGGAAAGTGTGGAAGCATGTTGCGTATAGAAGGGGATATGAGGGGGGAAGTGCTGGTCCAGCCCCTTACGTCCACGCCGCCACCACTCTCTCCCACTGTGCACTGCATAGGGGTAGAGTCGAGGAGCATGGGGTGACAGTGGGGCAGCATGAGGGGGGTATGAGCGGGGTATGAGGGGGGTATGAGCGGGGTATGAGGAGGGAAGTGCTGGTCCAGGCCTTTGCCCGCCTCCTCTCTCTCCCCCCCGCACAGCCCTGCATAGGACGAGAGGGCACGGGATATTTGGGGGACAGGAGAAGTAAGGACTGGGGCAGCGTAGAGATGAAATGATAGACATAGGTGACGTGGCCCACCTGTAAGTGACGTGGCCCACCTGTAGGTGACGTGGCACACCTGTAGGTGGATGGCTGGCCGATGGACTGCATCTTGTTCTGCAGCTGACACATGCGCGCTAGCATGCGCACCTGGTGTGCACACCCATGCATGCATACAGGCATACATACGTGCACACACACGGGAAAGAGGTAACATGTAGTGCACACAGACACACATGCAGACAATGTTACACGCATGCATACACATGCACACATGTGTGTTATGCAGAAACAACAGGCTGCTAGCTTCCAACTACTCTAACACTTTTATTGCTTTCAGGACTCGGATTCTCAAAAGCAGCTTTAAGGGAATAGGCTGATTGAATGTCTCTAATCAAGCGTGAGTGGAGGGCGATCTGAGTGACTTCAGGTGGGTTTGTGAATTCTCAAAAGCAGGTGGATCCTCACCTCCCCAGCTGTCACAACGCTGCATGCTGCTGCTGCAATGGATGGCACGTATACAGGAGCAGCAGAGGAAGGAAGGACAGACTCACCTCCTTTTCTCACTCACTCACCTCCTCAGCTGCAGCAGCAGAGAGTACCTCTAGCCTCTGTCTGAACGTTTCATTTCATGATGCTCCAGCAACAAGGGATGGCATGCATACAGTAGCCGCAGAGGAAGGGCGGACAGACTCACCTCCTCTGCTCACTCACCTCCTCTGCTCACTCACCTCCTCTGCTCACTCACCTCCTCTGCTCACTCACCTCCTCTGCTCACTCACCTCCTCTGCTCACTCACCTCCTCTGCTCACTCACCTCCTCTTCTCACTCACCTCCTCTGCTCACTCACCTCCTCTGCTCACTCACCTCCTCTGCTCACTCACCTCCTCTGCTCACTCACCTCCCTTGCTCACTCACCTCCTCTGCTCACTCACCTCCTCTGCTCACTCACCTCCTCTGCTCACTCACCTCCTCAGAAGCAGCAGCAGAGAGCGCCTCTAGCCTCTGTCTCAACGCTGCATGCTGCTCCAACAGCTGCTGCCGCACTGCCATGCCATCCACCACACTGCCTGGCAGCTGGGGAGAGAGCAAGAGGTATAACGAGAGATAGAGGTACAGGGGGAGAGGGGACAGGGCAAGACGAATAGAATGTATGAGCTCGATAGTGCATGCGCCGACAGCTTGATAGTGCATGCGCCGACAGCTCGATAGTGCATGCGCTGACAGCTCGATAGTGCATGCGGCAACAGCTCGATAGTGCATGCGCCAACAGCTCGATAGTGCATGCGCCAACAGCTCAATAGTGCATGCGCCGACAGCTCGATAGTGCATGCGCCAACAGCTCGATAGTGCATGCGCCAACAGCTCAATAGTGCATGCGCCGACAGCTCGATAGTGCATGCGCCAACAGCTCGATAGTGCATGCGCCAACTGGGGAGAGAAGACACAGCGTAAGCACGAGGTGCAGGGAGGTGAACAGATGCAGGGCGGTCCAGCGTAATACAGCGGGCGGTGCAGCGTAATACAGCGGGCGGTGCAGCGTATGAGCGGGCAGTGCAGCGTATGAGCGGGCGGTGCAGCGTATGAGCGGGCGGTGCAGCGTATGAGCGGGCGGTGCAGCGTAATACAGCGGGCGGTGCAGCGTATGAGCGGGTGGTGCAGCGTATGAGCGGGCGGTGCAGCGCATGAGCGGGCGGTGCAGCGTATGAGCGGGCGGTGCAGCGTATGAGCGGGCGGTGCAGCGTATGAGCGGGCGGGGCAGTGTATGAGCGGGCGGGGAAGCGTATGAGCGGGCGGAGCAGCGTATGAGCGGGTGGAGCAGCGTATGATCGTGATTTTTGAGTCAACTCAAAAATCACCAGGAATGCTACAGCAGCACAGCTGCTGCCACAGTGCCTTGCCATCTGCTGGAGCCCTACCTCTCTTAGCTTTGGCAGAAGCACAAAGTTGTAGCCCCCCCCAGCTGCAGCACCCACCCCAGTTAAGTTGGAATTAGCTTGTAGAAAAAAATGTACGTCTACAGAAAAACTGTCACACCTCTCTTAGCTTCGGCAGGAGCAGAAAGTTGTACGCTCCGCCTGTTGCTGCTCCACCAGCAGCCACCCACCCCACCACACTCCCCATCGTCCCATCTGTGATCGCGTTTGGCTCCATTATCCCCATGCTCACTGCTGCCGCCCCCACCACGTTCGCCGCCACCAGTGCGCCGCCTAGAGGCAGCACCCAGGGCGGTAGCGACAGGCTGCCGCTGTCTCTAGTGGCCTTGGGCGGCGCGCGCAGTAACGCCAGCGTCTGCCGCGTCACATGATTGGTCAGCGCCATGGGCTCACTCGGGTTCCACCCCGGGGTTCTATTCGCCGGCGCCGGAAATACCCCCGCTATTTTCCGCTTAGAAGCGGAGGATTTTCGAGAAGCGGACGAGGAAGAGGGGAGGGAGGAGGAGAGGGAGGAGGCGAGGGAGGAGGAGAAGGAGGGGGCAGCGCAGGCGATGGTGATTCGCTCCCCGGATTGAGCAGGCACGGAGGGGGTGACGGTGGCAAAGGTGTTGATCTGCGACGTGCCGTCAGGGGCTTTCAGTACCACGCTGTGCACTGCCACTGGTGGGTCACCCCGTTTCATGCGCACAAAGCGGAGCACCTTGTCTAGTATGGGGGCAGAGTCACTGATGGTGGGTGGAGGGATTGGAGGCAGAGGAAAACGAAGGAGCCTTGAGCACCACACTTTGCACCTTGTCTAGTGTCGGGGTAGAGTCGCTGGTGAGAGGGGGGAGTGAAGAGGGTGAAGGAACAAGGGTAAAGGGAGAGAATGGAGAGTGTGAAATGGAGCGGGCACTGAGGGGGTGACAGTGGCGAAGGTGATTATCTGCGATGTGCCATCTGGTGCCTTGAGCACCACACTGTGCACTGCAACTGGTGGGTCACCCCGTTTAATGCGCACAAAACGAATGACTTTGTCCAAGATGGGGGCTGAGTCGCTGGTGGGGGGGGGTTGGGAGTGCATGGAGAGGTGGAGGGACGGGAGGCAGGGGAAGAAGAGAGGGGCCTTGAGCACCACACTGTGCACCGCTGCTGGTGGGTCTCCCCGTTTGATGCGCACGAGGCGAAGGACTTTGTCCAAGATGGGGGCAGAGTCGCTGGTGATGGGGTGGAGGGATGGGAGGCAGAGGGAAACGAACGAGTCTTGAGCACCACACTGTGCACCGCTGTGCACATTCACGCACCACATGAATTTTATAACACTCACATGAGGGACTCAGAGTCGCAGGAGATGAGGTCCCCTGACACCAGCTCGTACTCATACTTGCACTTCATGAATCTACGTTATGCATATAGCTTGACTCTAAGCCCCCCCCTGCCCTTCTCACCTTGACTCTAACAAGCACAGGCAAGGGCAACCCGAGGCACGGGGCATCCACTCAAAGCTGATGGCCTCTCCACTCTGCACTCTAGCCACCCACCCTCAGTCTGTGTCCCTTCACTTGCACCCTCAGTCTGTGTCCCTTCACTTGCACCCTCAGTCTGTGTCCCTTCACTTGCACCCTCAGTCTGTGTCCCTTCACTTGCACCCTCAGTCTGTGTCCCTTCACTTGCACCCTCAGTCTGTGTCCCTTCACTTGCACCCTCAGTCTGTGTCCCTTCACTTGCACCCTCAGGCTGTGTCCCTTCACCTGCACCCGCACTAGCAACAACTCTCACCTTCACTTGCACCCGCACTAGCAACAACTCTCACCTTCGCACTAGCACAAGCAGGGCCGACTCGAAACTGATCGCCTCTCCACTCTGAACTCTCGCCATCACCTCAGCAGCAATCGCTGGGCCCTGACGAGGCCTCTCCCCTCACCCCCACAAGCAATAACCCTCACATTGACTCTAACCAGCACAGGCAGAGGAGACCCGCCAAGCACAGTGCATCCACTCAGCCGCTGAGCCCAGCCTCTGAGGCGCTGAGGGAGGAACTGCGGGAGGAACTGAAGGAGGAACTGAGGGAGGGAGGAACTGAGGGAGGAACTGAGGGAGGAACTGAGGGAGGAACTGAGGGAGGGAGGAACTGAGGGAGGGACTGAGGGAGGGACTGAGGGAGGAACTGAGGGAGGGAGGAACTGAGGGAGGAACTGAGGGAGGGAGGAACTGAGGGAGGAACTGAGGGAGGAACTGAGGGAGGAACTGAGGGAGGGAGGAACTGAGGGAGGGACTGAGGGAGGGACTGAGGGAGGAACTGAGGGAGGGAGGAACTGAGGGAGGGAGGAACTGAGGGAGGAACTGAGGGAGGAACTGAGGGAGGAACTGCGGGAGGAACTGAAGGAGGAACTGAGGGAGGGAGGAACTGAGGGAGGAACTGAGGGAGGAACTGAGGGAGGGAGGAACTGAGGGAGGAACTGAGGGAGGGAGGAACTGAGGGAGGAAGGACTCGTCAAGAGCACAGCACAGGGCAACAAGCCGAGCTTTTCTCGCGCTCGTCCGAGCTTTTAAAAAGCTCGTGATAAGAGACGAGTCGCGAGCTTGAGTTTTCCGTGAAAAGCTCGGCCGAGCTAAACTTGGCTCGTGACATTACTCATACGAGTGTGCCCAGGGACGAGGCGAGTAAAACTCGGCTCGAGACATTACTCGTACTAGTGTGCCCAGGGACGAGGCGAGAATACAGCATCCACACGTGTAGGAAGCACTCACATGAGGGATTCAGAGTCGCAGGAGATGAGGTCCCCTGACACCAGCTCGTACTCGTACTTGCACCCCGCACACCCCACCACCTGAGACCGTAGGAACGATAGCACATGGGGATTGAGGGGCAGGGCAGGGGCATGGGCAGTGTTACAAGCAAGAGCATGAATTATCAGGAGTAAGTGTGTGGTTAACAGGGGCAGGGCCGTAAGAGAAGCAGGGGCGTAGAAACAGCAGGGGTTAGGCAGGAGGCCGGGGAGGAGGCACGAAGCATGGGGGTTGCAGCAGAGAGAGTCAAGGGGGAACGTTGTCTAGGAAACACCCTCCATTTATTTCTCTCTTGTCAGAAGCCACATGGGCTCACCTGCCGGCCTTGCTGCGGCTGCACCACAGAAAAGGCTTTGCGGCACGTGGGGCAGTCCACTGTCACTCCAAAGGACACCTGCACCAGGAACACAAGGACGCAAATGCACAAACCACTTGACGTGGCTGTTGATTTATTTGTTCATGCACCACATGAAAGTGAAGGCTTTGCAGCACATAGGGTAGCCCATCGACATCTGAGAATATACATTGAAGGGATGAAAGCACACAATTCATCCAATGTGACGTTCAAGTGCACCACACAAGCCACTACCGCTCCCTGGCTCTGTTCCCTCACTCACTTCACATCCCCTCTGTCCCAATCGGGCACACCCCTCCTCTGCACGTCCCTCACCAGCGCCACCGCAACTCAGCTGTTGCTCCCCCCTTTTCCCCCCTTACTGCATTTCCCTTCCCCTTTTCCCCCCTTACTGCATTTCCCTTCCCCTTTTCCCCTTCCCCCACCTCACTCCCCACTTCCCTCCTCCGCTCACCTCTCGGTCCCCCTCGGGCACGCCTCGCCGCTGCACCTCCCCCACCAGCGCCACGGCGTCCGCCACTCGCAGCAGCGCCGCCAGCCCCCTCACCATCGCCGCGTATAGGCGCACGCCCACCGCGGGCCACACGCGCGCACGCGCTGGAAGGGGCGGCGGCAGAGGGAAGATGAGAGAGGGGCCCACGAGGGAAGGGGATAGTGGGGGGAGCGAGGGGGAGATGAGGATGCAGAAACATGTGTTAATCTCAGCACCACAGTCAATCCCAACCGGTTCCGTATGCTGATCGTACCGTCATTTCCTTGTACTAATCTACCATCCCCTAACATACTGCCGCACCTTGCCCAGGCGCGCCCGCATTGAGCGCCAAAGCGGACGTCTTGCACGCATTCAGCAGCGAATAGCTGAGTGCCACGTTGCCCGCCGCCAGGCTCCCCTCCATCAGCCATGCCACGTCACGCCGCGTAAATCTCTCCGCCTTCCCCGCATTCCCCGCCCCTGCGCCTGCGCCTCCCACCCCCGGTCGTTGGCCCAACGCCGCGCCCTGCGCTCTGCCAGCACCTGTCGCTCCCCCTTGCCCTTGCGCCTCCGCCGATCTCCGCTGACCTTGCGCTCTCTCCGCATTTCCCCTCGCCGTTTCCGCCTTCTTTTCCTTCTCACCCCCCAACAGACTCCCCAACCCGCTGAACCATCCCCCGCCTGCCTTCTCTTCCGCGGCGGCGGCTGCTGCTGCTGCCGCCGCCACCGCTTCCGCCTCCGCCTTTGCCGCAGCGGCGGAAGCAGCTTCCGCCGCTGCTGCCTCCGCCGCGGCGAGTGCCGCCGCTCCGCCCGCCTCCCCGCGCAACGCTGCCAGCTTCCCCAGCAGCAGCTCCGCCAAAGTATCCGCCTCCTCCACTTCCGCCAACCACCTGCTGACGTCACGATCGTCCCCTAATCTTTCCGCCAGCGATGGTAACCGCTGGCGAGATTTCGATTGCGATTCCCTTTCATTGCCCTGCGCGTCCTCCATATCCGTCTCATCGTCATAGTCATCGTCGTCGTCTGTAGACTCTACACTGGAATTTAATCCAAGCGCGGTTTCTGCGGCTCTTAAAAGCCGCGTCGACTCTTTCTCCTCTACCAAAGTTGCAGCCATGGCGGAATCCGCTAATTTAACTCCATCCTTATCACTCGCGTTGCCGCTTAATCTGGACCGAATGCCACCTAGAGTTACATCCGCCTTACAAATTCGATTGACTCTGCATCCAGCTCTGCGAAAAGCTGCAGTGTTACTCGTTGCTGGTAACACACGCCTCAAGCCATCATGGCGAGGAAGGATATTGTGACTGCTCCGTGGGCTCTGAACGCTCGCCTGTGCAACCTCGGGCTCTCCGCGAAGAGACTGAGACGGCGCCAGCGGCAGGGACGCGCTCGCGCGAATAGCCGCCATTGTTATGCTACAGCCGCGGCCTCGCGAGCTTACTAGAGCCTGGTTCAAAGTACCGAGGGGCTTGCCTGACGAGCACAGGAAACAAGCATATGAAAATCCCAGAAAAGCAGATGAGCCATGCGGAATCAGGTTGGGGAATGGCCAAGCGGAAGGCGCATGGTGAGGTGGGGGTACTGAAGAGCTCCAGGGATGAGCGCGACATTCCCAGTTCTGATTGGTTTAGAAGGGCTGACATGCGCAGAGCGCGGGCCAAGGGGAATGGGCGCGGAAAACTTTGGTGCTGTGGCTGGGGCTTGTGCTGAAGAATTGACCGGACGGGGCAGAAAATGGATTTGCCTTGCTGGAAAGTAGAGACTGTGAAGTAATGAACCAATCAAAGGCAGCGAACAAAATTTCAAGTGACCCCGTTTCTCGCTCAGGACTGGCAGAAGCTGATCTTCATGCCTCTGACACGCGCCAGATAACATTCTTCCAGTCGAGGTCCACGACGTGTAACCTGAATTCGGCGAACAGCTCCGCGAAGTCGCAACTCTCGCGAGCAAAACCTAGAGCAAATCGTCACGAACACGCGCTCTCCTATTCTTCCTCTTTCCTTCCTCCCCTTCCTCAACCTTGACCTTGGAATTACTCGAAGCGCAATCTCATGGTCGCCCTCCAGCTCCGCGCTCCGTGATCCTTACCGTCTGCATTAGTCTTATTCGCATCTCACACTAGATGCAATAGGCCGTCCTGCATGCATCGGATACTGTGACTTGAGGAAAATCACATGAGCCTTACGACATACTAGTATCAGAACGCCAGCAATCCAATGGTTGTAAGTTTTATTCCTTCGTCGACTTAGTCTAGGACTTGTCAATTTACTTTGTACCGAAAATCACTCACGAACCTTCGGACCAGCTTGTCTGTGTTAGCGCTTCTTTCCGTCCTATTGCAAGTTTGCTTCTTAATTCCGTGGCACTTCCCGTCATCGATGTTCCCTTCTCCGTTGGAATAAATCGTCGCAGACAGTCTCTCTAAAGCGTGCACCTTCAACCCGCACGCGCCTCTCCCTTACTACAGCAGCAGGACAAGTACGTGTACACGCCGTTGAGCGACGTGCCTGCAGCAGCGGGGCAGAAGGTCAATGTCTTCGGCGTGGTGGTCCTCGCAGACAACATTCGGCACTCCCAGGGGACTGGTACTGTACTCGTTCTCCAAGTTTCCTGAATTTCGTCTCGACCGTGTTCACGCAACAGCCTCATGCTCGGATTTCTCCTCCCTCCCCTCGCCTCCTCTGCATGCGCTTTCACTTCTGACTTCGCACAAGCAGTATCAAACCCGTGTATCTCGTGTTTTCCTAATCCGCGCGTGCATCCCCTTTGCAGATTTCTTCTGCACGCTGCTTCTGGCGGACACCACGTGCCACAGCCCTGGCTACGCCGTCAACCTCTTTGCTCCCCGGGCTGATCAACTGCCGCAAGTCGCCAATGTAGGCGATATAATTCGCATCCACAGAATGATGGTCAGTACGATTCCATGATCTCATGCCACCTTCGATTTTCTGTCTTTTTCCTCTCATCCATGCTCCCTGTGCCTCCTTATATCAACGTTCCCCTCCCTCAGTCTTTCCCTTTCGTTATCCTTAACTCGTTCACTGCAAAACATCCTCTCTGTGCACGCACGTCTCCCTCTTGACTTCCGCTTTGACTTCCTTCTCACCGCTCTCCCCCACTATCCTGTGCAGAGCACGGTGATTCACAGAGGTCCCCTGGGCACGGCGCGCACAGGTCAGCAGAGCGCCCACGCGCTCTTCTCAGGGACGCCAGGGTCGTCCCTGCAGCCCTACTCCTTCTCGCACACTTCCTTCCGGCCTCTCTCTGACGGCCACAAGCAGCTCGTGCAGCAGCTGAGGCTCTGGGCGCATGGCTTCCCCTTCCTCATCCGTAAGCTGGGGGAGGGGGGGTGGAGGGGGAGGAAGGTGGTGAGCTGGGGAATTGGAGGGGCGGGGGAAGTTGATCTGAGATGATCCGAACCTTCTCCGCCCTCCCCCCCGCTCACCACCAGCTCGTGCAGTAGCTCCGGCTCTGGGCGCATGGCTTCCCTTTCCTCATCCGTGAGCTGGCTGGGGTGGGGCAGATAGGAGGGAGGGAAGTTGATTGTTCCTTCATGGTATAAAGTTTCGTCTGTTAAAAAGAGCTTATCCCTGTTCCTTTGTGCCTCCCTCCCTTCCCCTCCATGGCTCCTGCCAGGCCCACCCACAGCGCCAGAGCCGTTGCTGACCATCAGCAGCATCGATGCAGACATTGCGTTTGATCTCTGCGTGCAGGTCAGTCAGCCTGTTAACTGTAATGGTTATTCTGCTCATTGTTATCTTATTCTGTTCGAGATGAGTAATCTCGCTGTATCATCTTTGCCTGGCCGTTTTGGGGGCTGTGTGGGTGCGTTTGTGTGCGCGCGTGCGTGTGTGTGCGGGCTGTGCGCGTGCGTACGTGCGTGCGAAATTGCGTGTCTGCATGCCTGTGTGCATGCCTGTGTGCATGCCTGTGTGCATGCGTGTGTGCATGCAGGTGTGGCACATAGTAAAGAGGGATCGCATGGTGGTGCTCTTCGTCTGGGACGGCACCGACCTCCCTCTCCCCTCGCTTTCCGCGTCAGTCCTGCTACCTCCTCTCTGCCGTGCTTCCGCGCATTCCTCTGGCCCCTTCGCTTTCGTCTCTCGTCACTGCCTTTCCATTTTCAGGCACGTTCATCACCCTTCTTTAGACCCAGCACCACTTGTCCTTCCATCACTCACCCATCCTCTCGCCCGTGCTCCACTCCATTTCGTCCCTCTTCCACGCTCTACTGCACTCAACCACTCAATCTCTCTTCTGCCGTCTCTTTTCTGTGCAGGCCGGCAGCACCAATCCCCTCCAGTCATTCCCCGCATCACGGCCAGCCATACAATGCCCCCGAATCCTCCTCTACACCATCTGCGCCCTCCAGCTCATCCCTACCCCAACCCCCACCCACTAGGCCACCCACATCAACCCCTGCATCAGCATCGGCGCATGCAGGGGTGCATCCCGCCTCTCCTCCTCCCTGCACTCGCTCAGGGTACCCACATTTTGCCGTTGGCGGTCGCCCTGCCCCTCCTCTCTGTGTGCTGCAGCGTGTCCCCCCTCTGGGCTCCCTGCTGCCTGTTATGTGCCACGTGGACGACCTTCACTGGCTGCTGCACCGCCTGCACCCCTCTGTAGCAAAGGCGTTAGAGGGGGAGGGAGGAGGGGGGCCAGCCAGGGCGGGGCACGAGGGGGAAGGTGGGGGCAGAGGTGATGGGGGAAACAGGGGTGGGGAGAATGAGAGGGCAGAGCGGGACCAGAATGGGGGGCAGGGAGCGGGAGGAGTGGCAGCAGAGGGGAGTGAGAGACGACAAGATGGGGAGGGCCGGGAGGAGGGGGAGGAGGAGAGGGTGGCGGGAGAGTGGCAGCAGGAGGGGGTGGTGCCGTGCTGGGTGCGGCTGAGGAACATCAGAGCCACGTGCCACGGCGCCAGAGGGGACTGGCTGGGCATCTTCAACAACTCCAGCCGCCTGAGCCTCGTCAGGGAATGCTACTCGGACGTAGCAGAGCTGAAAAGGTAACGCTCATGTTACCGCCCTGCTTACCGTTCATTGGCTTAAAAAACAAATAAGCTACCTACACGTAATTCTGCCTGTGCTCCTATTGGATTCAATCCCCTAGTTACACGTAATGGCAAGAACGCTTAGAGGGGTTTTGGGGGGCACTTGGAGAATCGTCTCATTGCATTGCTGCCATTCTCCTTGTTTGCTCCCACAGCAAGTATGCAGAGAGGGCAGCGAGTGAGGACGCACACACGCGGATAGGCAACATGGCTCTGTGGGCCTCCATCCACCAGCACACACGTCAGTCCATTCGTTGCCCTCACTCCCACACACATGTCAACCCATTCACCTCCGCTCACCTCTTACCCGCCCAACCAACCCGCTTTCGTTTTCCTCCCTGGGCCTCCTTTCACCAGCGCACACACACATCAATGCATCACCCATCTTCCCTCATTCCTGCTGCTCTTCCAACCCAAAACACCTCTTCGTCCCACAATTTGACAGCCCCGCTCCACCACCTTTGCATCAAGCTTTCAACGTCCATCTCTGTCCTCTGCTGTGCCCTCCTCTGTGCCCTCATCTGTGCCCTCCTCTATGCCCTCATCTGTGCCCTCCTCTATGCATTCCTCTTTGCTCTCCTCTGCGCCCTCCTCTGTGCCCTCCTCTGTGCCCTCCTCTGTGCTCTCCTCTGTGCTCTCCTCTGATTCCTCTCCTGCGCCCCACTGTTTTGCACCAGGCATCGCCCGTTCCCTGCAGCCGTACTCCACCCTTCGCCAGATCTACACCCATCCTGTGGTGAGTGAGTGGTAACCAGCACCATGCACCAGAGTGAGAGGGGAGAGTGGGACGGGGGAGATTGAGAGACGGAAGAGAGATACGGGGGAGAGCGGGACAGGGAAGTGCTAGACAAGGGAAAGTGAGACAAGGGAGAGTGAGACAAGGGAGTGAGACAAGGGAGAGTGAGACAAGGGAGAGTGAGACAAGGGAGAGTGAGACAAGGGAGAGTGAGACAAGGGAGAGTGAGACAAGGGAGAGTGAGACAAGGGAGAGTGAGACAAGGGAGAGTGAGACAAGGGAGAGTGAGACAAGGGAGAGTGAGACAAGGGAGAGTGAGACAAGGGAGAGTGAGACAAGGGAAAGTGAGACAAGGGAGAGTGAGACAAGGGAGAGTGAGACAAGGGAGAGTGAGACAAGGGAGTGAGACAGGGGAGACTGAGACGGGGGAGAGTGAAACCAGGCACACACTGCTTCTTTTCTCTTACCTTTTCCTCTTTCCTGTGACTCCTTTGACTCTCCTTTCTCCTCCATCTTCCATATCTTATCTTGCCGTTTCACCACTTTGTCTTCGTGTTCGGCTTCCTACGCCTACCCACCCCACACCAGGTGCCGTACCGCTTCCGCTGTGCAGCGAGAGTGATCTTCGCCTCTGCTATCCACCCCGCCCGCTTCACTGCCTTCGTTCCAGACAAGCCCCACTCCATCTCCTCCTCTCCTGCCCCCCCGCACTCCTCCACTCCTCTACCTGCCGCTGCCACATCTGCTGGTGCCGCTGCTGGTACTGATGCAACCGAGGGGACGGGGGAGGAAGGGACGGGAAAGCGGTCAGGAGAGGAAGGCGTGGAAAGGGCGCGAGCGAAGCTGCAAAAAGGGGAAGGTCATGCTGACGTGGCAAGGCAGGATGTTGCTGACGTGGCGAGGCAGGAGGGGGCTGATGTGGCGCCACAGGAAGATGCTGAGGCTAATGTGGCGAGGGAAGCAGTAGGGAAGGGGGTGGAAGAGGGAGAAGGAGGTGGTTCGGGGAAAGCAGCAGAGACAGCAGGCACATCAGAGGGCGTGGGCGGAGTGGCTTTAGCAAAGGGAGAGTCCACAGGAAAAGCAGGTTCTGGGGTGAAGAGGAAGTGGGCGGCAGGGCTTGTCTTGGTGCTCGAGGATGCTACGGGGCGGTTGCTCGTCCGCCTCGCCTCACCTAATGCCGTAAGGATCGTCCGGTTTCCCATGGTTCCAATCTTGACGTACAAGGCTTCATCTTGCTCCTTGTTCATGCTGCACACAGAGGGTTATTTTCAATTATCACCCTTATCTTGATGCACGGCTAAAGGTTCGCTCAGCAGCACCTCCCAACCCAATCATTTTCTTCATGCATCTTCATTGCTGATCCTCCCCTTTATTTTCACCCTGCTTCCCATTCGCTCCTGATGGCCTTCTTGGAAGACTGCCTTCCAGTGACCAAATAGTTTCTTTGTCAAGGACTTCTCTCAAACTGCCTGCCTTGACTTGGTTTCCCTCTTGTCTGCTGTGCCTTTCTTCCTTTCCCACCCCAATCAGGAGGTGTTCTTTTCAGCAACAGCGGAGGAGTTGCGCAAGGATGCAGGGGTGTCTGCGAGAGCAGCTGCAAGCATGGCTATGCTGTTGGGTGTGCCCAGAGACCACGGGCAGGATACAGAATTTGACTTTGGACAGCAAGCGCATGCAGGGATTGAACGGGATGCGGTGCATGAGAATGAAGATGCACGGGTGGAAAGGGAAGCACGTAATCCGCCGTCGATTGATTGCTGTGTGTTCTCGTACCACCATGTGAGGAAAGATGGACTGTCGAAAGAGAAGATGTTTCAAATATTCCAGACTAGGTTGCTTACTCAACATGATGGTGCATGACGAGCTTTTTTTGAATGAGCCTCGCATACGCCGGCCTCTATCCAGGTTTTCTGGAACACACGAATACCTGTTTCCATAAAAAATTATGTTTAAGCCCATAGCCTGTCACACTGCACTGGTGCTCTGTGGACAAGATGAAAGTCATTTAGTAATCAGTTTACATGATGTTACCTTGTATTGACAATGAGTGCTGGTGTTGGTGTATTATCCGATTGTATCCTCATCATTGTCACCCTAGCTGTGACGGGGACTTCTCTGTGTGGGCCAACCTTGGGATCACACCACCACCAGCGCACCATTTCTCCATTCAGGATTCACATTGGTGGGAATCGCTGGCTTTGTAGGTCGGAGATTAGGATCTAGGTCGTCCGCACCTTACCTCTGGTACACTCTCGTCCGACGCGTGCTGCGCATATTTAACCTCTTGATCGCTTCGTAACGTGGTTGCGGTAGCGATGGCGCCGCGCGTGCTTGGCCTGCTGGCTTTGATCGCGATCTCGGTGGTGGGATGCGTCGCATTCTCGGAGGAGCGACCGACGGATCAGCGCATCCTCGTGCTGCTAGACGACCTCAAGAATAAGGACTCCTACTCTATCTTCTTTAAGAACCTCGCAGGTAATTAAGAACGTCGCAGATAGCCACGAATCATGGAGGTCGTTCGCGATTTGCAGGAGATTCACAGATGCTCCAGAGGACCGTTTTATTGAAGAGCTCCCAGTCAATGAGAATTTTCCTGTTGGAATTGAGACGTTCGCAGTCACCTAACAGTACGGATTGCGCTAGATCTTGGGTTTCCGCATTACAGCAGGATGTTTTGCAGATCGAGAGTCGTTAAGTTCCCACCTTTATCACAGGGCAAGCGTACGGCGACAGTCCCGTAGCATGCGAGGCTGAACATAGCTGACCAACAAATTGGCGACGCTGAAACTACTTCCTGAGTCGCCGACACTGACATAGATTTAGTTTGATGTGTTCTAGTCACTGACATAGAAATAGTTTGATGTGTTCTAGTCACTGACATAGCTACGTGATTGGCGACTCCGCAATACCTATATCTGCGACACTGACATAGCTTACTGAACAGGCGACACTGGCAAATGTGACCGAATCAGCAACACTCATAGTTCACATAATCTGCTCGGCATCTTTCAAGATCTGGCCGCGCATTGCGATACGATCCTTATCGGCCAGTCACATATCCACTAATGCGCCATGTCTGACTCATCGTCGTGCATTCAGCATTCACAATGATCCCATCTCGTGTCCTCAGCTTGTAGCTTTCCGCTGACGTCCCCATCACTCGCGGCCAGCGTCTCATTTGGAACCTCCTCCTTTGATTCTCGCCGTTCTTCCTTTTTCCCCGCCTCTCCCCTCTCTACGTCCTGGTCTTCCGTTCCGCAGATCGCGGGTACGAATTGGATTTGCGCGCGGCGAGGGATTCGAGTCTCGTGCTGCAGAAGTACGGCGAGTACCTCTACGACGCCGCCATCATCCTCGCGCCCGAAGTCTCTTGTACGTGTTACTTTCTATTTGTGTTTTCTCTAATGCCGCGTTATAAGGTGACTCATTAGCGCCTCTACGATGCCGTTATCATCCTCGGCCTCAAAGTCTCATGGTACGTCTTGCGCTTGCACGTCCATTCTTAAAATCACGCTATAAGCTGAGCTGGCACCTCTACGACGCCGCCATAATCCTCCACCCCGAATTCTCGTGTACGTCTTGCGTCCTCACTTGTGATTGATGAAGTTGTGTAGTAAGGGTGAACGAGTACCCCTACGACCCCGCTATCGCCCTCGCGCCAACGTCTCCTGTACATCTTGCGATCTCGCGTGTGAATGATGAAATCCCGCTCCAATGCGACTCACTAGTACCTCTACCACGTCGCTATCATCCTCTACCGCATGGCGCACACGTTGCCGCACACGCTGCTTCCTTCCCCCACCTTCCCCGTGCTCCCACGTTCCCCGCCCCCCTCATTTCCCAGCATTCGGCGGCGTGGTGGACGTGCCAGCGATCCTTGACTTCGTGAAGTCGGGCCACGACCTCATCCTCGCCTTTTCGTCCTTCATTCCCTCACCCCCCCCACCTACCCCGTGCTCCCCATCTCTTAGCGTTTGGCGGCGTGGTGGACGTGGCGGCGATCCTCGACTTCGTGGACTCGGGCCACGACCTCATCCTCGCGGCGGACAGCGGCGCGTCCGACACCATCCGCGATATCGCGCTCGAATGCGGCGTGGACCTCGACGAGGTACGTGTTGCTGCCGCTCGCGCCTCTCACATCTCTGTCCGACACCATCCCGCGATATTGCACTCGAATGCGGCGTGGACCTCGATGAGGTATGTGCTGACGCGCCGCGCGGCCATCACTCACGCCATCCGCGAATTTTCGCGCGAGTGCTGTGCAGTTGGCGACGGGACGTGGTATATGTTGATGTGACTCACTTTTCCAATTCCATCCGCGATATTGACTGATGCGATTGCAGAACCCCAAGGGCGTGGTGATCGACCACCAGCAGTACGCGCGGGTGAGCGGGCGCAGGGACGACCACACGCTCGTGCTCGGCAGCAACCTCATCAACTCTTCCGTCATCCTCGGCGCTTCCCCCATCAAGGTATGCTTTGCTAGAATACCCTTGCCATCCCAGTGGAACCGTGTAAAGGTGGCTTGTATCCGGCTGCTTGTTCGTTCCAAATTCTTGTGGTGGCATCTCCGTCTCTTTTGCGTGCAAACGGGATTTGGTTTTGCTCTACTTGTCATTCCTCTCCTTGTTTCTCTCCTCCACCTCTCCACCTTCACTCTGCACCGTTCTTTCTTCCGCTGCATTCCCACCCTCGGCATGGCTGCACCACAGGGCCCCATTCTCTTCCAGGGGATCGCCATGACAGTCTCGCCCACGTCCGAGCTGGTATGCCCTCCGTCGCTCCACACATCCTTTCAGCTATCCCACGCCCTGCTCCCCCCCCCCCGTGCCCCTTGCATGGTACTCGTTCATGCCTCTTGTCGATCACACCTGTGAGACGCACAGCACGCTCCATCGCTTATATGCTGCTTACCCCTCTCCGCTAGCTCCTCACCCTCCTCCATCACGCCACCAGCTGCTGCTGGTGCTCGCAGTCCTTGCGCTCAGTCCTTCCACCTCATCTCTTGAGAAATTCTTACGGGGAACCCCCCCCCTTTCTCCCCACCCCCCTCGCCCCCGCCCCCTCTTCCGCCCCCTCCTTCCCCTCTCCTTGTCCCTTCGTCCCCCCTCCCTGTCCCTTCCCCCTCCCTCCATGCGCCATCAGGTGGTGCCGGTGCTCTCAGGCTCCCCCACGGCCTACGCGGCGGACCCAGCAGCGGCTCTCAAGGAGCCCCCCGCGCTGCAGGGCAAGGCGGTCTCGCTCGTGGCGGCCATGCAGGCGCGCAACAACGCGCGCGTCCTCATCTCCGGGTCGCTCGCGCTCTTCACAGACAGGTGCGTGGGTGCTGGATTGGGGGTGAGAGGGGGACGAGGGAGGGGGGAGTGAGACGGAGAATTGGAGATGTGAATTGCACGTCTCGTCAGGAAAATTGGGGGGGGGGGGGATCGGGGGGGAGGGGGGAAGGGGAGGGAGGGAAGGGGGAGTTCGGGCCAGGTTACAAGAGCATGTGTCGACTATTCGCTTCTCACTTATCCTTCCAACCCCCTCCCTCCTCCTCCCCTCCCCTTCTCTTGCCCCTAGTTTTTTTACTCCTTCAGTTTCTTCTGCGCAGTGGTAGACTGCTCTGCCACCTCTGCCGACCCCGCCCTAACCCTTTCTCTTCTGCCTCGTTCCTCCTCTCCCCTTCCCTTGCGCCTCCTCTCGTTCTCCCCTCCCCTTCCTCCGCCCCTCCTTATTCCCCCCTCTCAGTTTCTTCCGCGCAGTGGTGGACGTGTCTGCCACCTCTGCCGACCCGGCCTCACAAAACGCCAAGACCTCCCAGTGGCTCTCGCCGGCCGGCAATGAGCAGTTTGTCACGGAGCTGTCCAAGTGGACCTTCCACGAAAGGGGGCACCTTAAGGTGAGAAGATAGAGCAGATGAACTTACTCACCATCCCACCATCCCACACTCCCCTCACGATCCCACGCTCCCCTCACCATCCCACACTCCCTCAGCATCCCATCTGTCCTCACCACTGCTCAGCTCCCCAGTGAATCTTTCCGAACCGCTGCTCACCACTCTCTTCCTTCCGTTCCATCCCCCCACCCCACACCTCTCAGGCTGTGAACCTGCGGCACAACAAGGCTGGGGAGAGCACGGAGCCTGCAGTCTACCGTGTCTCTGACCACCTGGTATGCACCCGCCATGTGCCTGCATGTGCCCGCATGTGCCCGCTTGCACTGCATCAGTGCGCTGTGTGCCTGCCCGCCTGCCTGCCCGCCTGCCTGCCTTCTCGATGCCCGTCAGGATTCTTGCAGGCAGTGGCTGTTTTGTCTTGCTTGCATCCCGCCCCTTTCCCCCTCTTCCCCTTTCCTCCCCTCAACGCCATTTTGCACGGGGCACTCATGGTGACTGCTTGCTGGCTCCTCTGCTCTCCTCCCCTCTTCCCCGCTCTTTTTCCCCGTCCCCCCCCCTCGCTGCCCCCGCTGGCAGGAGTTCGCAGTGGACATCTATGAGTGGGCGGGCAGCGAGTGGGTGCCATTCAAGGGCGACGATGTGCAAGTGCAGTTCTACATGATGAGCCCCTACGTGCTCAAGACACTCTCGCACGATGACAAGGTGAGTGAGATGCTCTCGCACAATGACAAGGTGAGGTGCATGTCCCTTCAACGATGACAAGGTGAGGTGCATGTCCCTTCAACGATGACAAGGTGAGGTGCATGTCCCTTCAACGATGACAAGGTGAGGTGCATGTCCCTTCAACGATGACAAGGTGAGGTGCATGTCCCTTCAACGATGACAAGGTGAGGTGCATGTCCCTTCAACGATGACAAGGTGAGGTGCATGTCCCTTCAACGATGACAAGGTGAGGTGCATGTCCCTTCAACGATGACAAGGTGAGGTGCATGTCCCTTCAACGATGACAAGGTGAGGTGCATGTCCCTTCAACGATGACAAGGTGAGGTGCATGTCCCTTCAACGATGACAAGGTGAGGTGCATGTCCCTTCAACGATGACAAGGTGAGGTGCATGTCCCTTCAACGATGACAAGGTGAGGTGCATGTCCCTTCAACGATGACAAGGTGAGGTGCATGTCCCTTCAACGATGACAAGGTGAGGTGCATGTCCCTTCAACGATGACAAGGTGAGGTGCATGTCCCTTCAACGATGACAAGGTGAGGTGCATGTCCCTTCAACGATGACAAGGTGAGGTGCATGTCCCTTCAACGATGACAAGGTGAGGTGCATGTCCCTTCAACGATGACAAGGTGAGGTGCATGTCCCTTCAACGATGACAAGGTGAGGTGCATGTCCCTTCAACGATGACAAGGTGAGGTGCATGTCCCTTCAACGATGACAAGGTGAGGTGCATGTCCCTTCAACGATGACAAGGTGAGGTGCATGTCCCTTCAACGATGACAAGGTGAGGTGCATGTCCCTTCAACGATGACAAGGTGAGGTGCATGTCCCTTCAACGATGACAAGGTGAGGTGCATGTCCCTTCAACGATGACAAGGTGAGGTGCATGTCCCTTCAACGATGACAAGGTGAGGTGCATGTCCCTTCAACGATGACAAGGTGAGGTGCATGTCCCTTCAACGATGACAAGGTGAGGTGCATGTCCCTTCAACGATGACAAGGTGAGGTGCATGTCCCTTCAACGATGACAAGGTGAGGTGCATGTCCCTTCAACGATGACAAGGTGAGGTGCATGTCCCTTCAACGATGACAAGGTGAGGTGCATGTCCCTTCAACGATGACAAGGTGAGGTGCATGTCCCTTCAACGATGACAAGGTGAGGTGCATGTCCCTTCTCACTCGCTCCGAAGCGCCAAACACGTTGACACACATCTACGAGGGCAATTGTCAATCTTCAAGGTGCAACCACATGCTCAGTCACACTCTTTGTTTTCCCTCTCCCACCTTCCTTTCTCCTCCTCTACATCCGGCACCCGTTCGCCCGTCTACCCATCCCACCCTCCCCTCGCCTCAACACCATTCCCCCTCCACGCTCTCTTCTCAACCCGTCCAAGCTGTCTCACGCCGGCTGAGTCTGCTTTTGAGGCGCCTCAAAAGTCCCCTCACACAATTCCCCCTCCACGCTCTCTTCTCAACCCGTCCAAGCTGTCTCACGCCTTCTGCGTCTGCCAGATTAACCTTGTCTCCTCTCCTCCTCCCTCTCCTGTACGCCGCCCTCCCACCACCTCCTCCCCAGGGTCGCTTCTTCACATCCTTCCAGGTGCCGGATGTGTACGGCGTGTTTCAGTTCAAGGTGGAGCACAAGCGCCTTGGCTACTCCACCATCTCGCTCGCCAAGCAGGTGCGTCGTCTTGCTCACAGGTGATTGTTCTCGGCTACTCCACCATCTCGCTCGCCAAGCAGGTGCGTCTTCTTGCTCACAGGTGATTGTTCTCGGCTACTCCACCATCTCGCTCGCCAAGCAGGTGCGTCTTCTTGCTCACAGGTGATTGTTCTCGGCTACTCCACCATCTCGCTCGCCAAGCAGGTGCGTCTTCTTGCTCACAGGTGATTGTTCTCGGCTACTCCACCATCTCGCTCGCCAAGCAGGTGCGTCTTCTTTCTCACAGGTGATTGTTCTCGGCTACTCCACCATCTCGCTCGCCAAGCAGGTGCGTCTTCTTGCTCACAGGTGATTGTTCTCGGCTACTCCACCATCTCGCTCGCCAAGCAGGTGCGTCTTCTTGCTCACAGGTGATTGTTCTCGGCTACTCCACCATCTACCTTGCAAAGCAGGGCAGTGCTTGCAAGCAGCTGGCTGGTTGTTCCCTTGCCACTCCACGGCCTTGCTTGCAAAGCAGGTGTGGAGCAGCAACCTTCCTCGTGTCCCTGGTGCCTGCCTGCCACACTCTTTCATGCCAGGCCACAAGTATTTCCTGCTTCCCCTGGGTTCCCCTCTCTTTCCTCCTCGCTGTTTCTTTCTCGCCCCTCGCCGACACATACCGGAATCATTTTGCCTCGCAGTTAGTCGCTGCTCCTAGTCGCCCAACCCCATCCATTTCCCTCAAACCCAGTCATTGCTGCTTCTAACTCCTCCTCACCTCACCACACCTCACTACACCCCACTACCCTCTTCCACAGATCCCCGTGCGCCCCTTCCGCCACGATGAGTTTGAGCGCTTCATCCCGGCGGCCTTCCCCTACTACGCCTCCACCTTCTCCATGGTATGCTGCCTCTGCCCGTCCACGGTGTGCCCTTTTTCTCCATGATATGCTGCTGCTATCTATCCATTCGATGCCTCGCTTCATCCTGGCCGCCTTCCCTTACTATGCCTCCACCTTCTCCACGCTATGCTGCCTCCCTTGATCCACATTATGCCTCCCTTAGTCCACGCTATGCCTCCCTTAATCCATGTTATGCCCCCCATTATCCACGTTATGCCTCAACCTTCTTTACAGTGTGCCTTTCCTCAACCTTCTCAACGTTATGGTCTCCTATCTCCATCATGTGGCTCATCTCTCCATCTAATATCCGACAACCTTCAACTCCCCACCTGTCCTTTTTGCGCACTTTTCCCTCCCTCCCATTCATGCTGCAGTGCAGCAATGCTCCATTTTCCTTTACCATGCTTGTCATTCCTCCCTTGATCATCCTCCACCACTTTTACCCCACCACCACTCTGTTCATCTCTACCCCATATGCTCTCGCTAACCGTGCTCTTCCGTCCCTCCCTCTTGTGCCAATTTATATTTCTTTCAACCACCAGATGATAGCGTTCTTTGTCATTGGCTTTGTCTTCCTCTACCACAAGTAAAACTGCCGAAGCCTTTTGGTCGCTGCCGGAAGAGTGCTTGCTAGGATTCCGGAACATCTCTTTACTAGCCAATTGTGCCTTGATATACTCAAAAGGCTAGTCCCCTAAAGGCTGACATGTTACTGGGTTGTTGATATGCAGTCGTCGTGTTAGGATTTTGTGTATCCTGTAAGTCTGTTGAGTGGGCTACTCAAACACTCACTGATAACATACTGGTAATCATTTGCCCATAGAAAATTTGGTTACCAATTTAACCGATTGAAATTAGTGTTACCATGTTCCCCTGGATTTAGGCGCCGGAGCGTTTATGGGTAATAAATCACATATGTTTCGGGGGATAAGAGAGGGAAGGGGGGGTGTGCACTGACCGCAAAATGTCAATCTCTATCCTGGTTCAACACAGTAGCTCTTTGTGAAGTGGTTCCACTCTTGTGAAGAAGAGATGAATTCGCGAAATGACAGTGTGGCTCATCGCCTCCAGAGTGCCCAATGAAAACGACATACGATCGAGGGCTTGTCAGACGCCGGCCATAGCGTGCCTTTTCTGGAAAGGATCCCGCCACAGAGGCAAAGAGATGCCCTGCTCCTGCAGCGGGCGGAACCCTGGTTGCGACCGAGTTGGGTTCTCGAGCGAGGGTTTCAAACGAGCTTCAATCCAAGCTTTCAACTCAACAGCGTTGCAAAACACCGGTGCTGCCACAGGTGCGTGTGCGGAATAGTACTGCTGCCATAGGTGCTGCCACAGGTGCTGAATATCGGTGCTGCCAGAGGTGTTGAATATCGGTGCTGCCAGAGGTGCGTGTGCTTAACAGTAGTGCTACACAGATGCGTGTGCTTAGCACCAGTCCTACCACAGGTCCGTGTGCTGGAATAGGCACAGACAAGCGCAGCCACGTGACCCAACGGAAGAAAAATGCTCGGACCGAGCGCTTCCAGGCACAAAATACGAAAGGATTAGCACATGTGCAGGAAGTGCAGCGGACGCTCTTCATTCACGAGCGCCGATGACCGCTGCCCTCCCACGCCCTTGCTGGCTTGGTAATACTACCAGACAAGCGCAGCCACGTGACCCGGCGGAAGAAAAACGCTCGTAACGAGCACTTCCAACCCCAAAACGCAAAAGGATCCGCACATGTGCAGGAAGTGCACCGGGCGCTCTTGATTCGAGAGCGCATATGACCGATGATGTTCCCACCCCTCCAACGCCCTTGGTGGCTTGGTAATAGGACCACACAAGCGCAACCACGTGACCCGGTGGAAGAAAAACGCTCGGAACAAACGCTTTTACACCCAAACCATGGAATTATCCTCACATGAGCAGGAACTGCAGCGGGCGCTCTTCATTCGCGAGCGCCGATGGCCGACGATGCTCGCAAACATCCCACGCCCTTGCTCGCTTGGCAAAATAGCAAGAACAAGGGCCTAGCGTGTGCAAAATAGCAAGAACAAGGGCCAAGCATGTGAAAAATTGCAAGAACAAGGGCCTAGCGAGTGCAGAATAGGAAGAACAAGAGCCTAGCATGTGCAAAATTTCAAGAACAAGGGCCAAGCGTATGAAGAATAGCTAGAATAAGAGCCTAGCGTATGCAAAATTGCAGGAACAAGGGCCTAGCTTATGCAAAATTGCAAGAACAAGGGCCAAGCGTGTGCAAAATTGCAAGAACAAGGGCCTAGCGTATGCAAAGTTGCAAGAACAAGGGCCTAGCATGTGCAAAATTGCAAGAACAAGGGCCTATCGTGTGCAAAATTGCAAGAACAAGGGCCAATTATGTGCAAAATAGCATGAACAAGGACCTAGCGTGTGCAAAATAGCAAGAACAAGGGCCAAGCGTATGCAAAATTTCAAGAACAAGGGCCTAGCGTGTGCAAAAATGCAAGAACAAGGGCCTAGCGTGTGCAAAATTGCAAGAACAAGGGCCTAGCATGTGCAAAATTGCAAGAACAAGGGCCTCTTGCGTGCAAAAATGCAAGAACAGGGGCCTAGCGTGTGCAAAATAGCAAGAACAAGAGCCTAGCGTGTGCAAAATTGCTGGAACAAGGGCCTAGTGTGTGCAAAATTGCAAGAACAAGGGCGTAGCGTGTAGAAAATTGCAAGAACAAGGGCCTAGCGTGTGCAACATTGCAAGAACAAGCGTGTGCAAAATTGCAAGAACAAGGGCCTAGCGAGTGCAAAATAGCAAGAACAAGGGCCTAGCGTGTGGAAAATTGCAAGAACAAGGGCCTAGCGTGTGCAACATTGCAAGAACAAGGGCCTAGCGTGTGCAAAATTGCAAGAACAAGGGCCTAGCGAGGGCAAAATAGCAAGAACAAGGGCCTAACGACTGCATAATAGCAAGAACAAGAGCCTAGCGTGTGCAAAATTGCAGGAACAAGGGCCTAGCGTGTGCAAAATTGCAACAATAAGGGCCTAGCATGTGCAAAATAGCAAGAATTAGGGCCTAGCAAGTGCAAAATTTCAGGAACAAGGGCCGAGCAAGTGCAAAATAGCAAAAACAAGGGCCTAGCGAGTGCAAAATAGCAAGAACAAGGGCCTAGCATGTGCAAAATAGCAAAAACATCGGCCTAGCCAATGCAAAATTGCAAAAACAAGGGCCTAGCGAGTGCAAAATAGCAAGAACAAGGGCCTAGCATGTGCAAAATAGAAAGAGCAAGGGCCTAGAGTGTGCAAAATTCCAAGAATGGCATGTGCAAAATAGAAAGAACAAGGGCCTAGAGAGTGCAAAATTGCAAGAACAAGGGCCTAGCGTGTGCAAAATTGCAAGAACAAGGGCCTAGCTTGTGCAAAATTGCAAGAACAAGGGCCTAACGAGTGCAAAATAGCAGGAACAAGGGCCTAGCGAGTCCAGAATAGCAAGAACAAGAATCTAGCGTGTGCAAAATTGCAGGAACAAGGGCCTACCGTGTGCAAATTGCAAGAATAAGGGCCTAGCGTGTGCAAAATTGCAAGAACATGGGCCTAGCGTGTGCAAAAATGCAAGAACAAGGGCCTAGCGTTTCCAAAATTGCAAGAACAAGGGCCAATTATGTGCAAAATGGCAAGAACAAAAGCCAAGCGTGTACAAAATAGCAAGAACTAGGGTCTAGCGTGTACCAAATTGCAGGAACAAGGGCCTAGCGTGTGCAAAATAGCAAGAACAAGGGCCTAGCGTGTGCAAAATAGCAAGAACAAGGGCCAAGCGTGTGCGAAATTGCAAGAACAAGGGCCTAGCATGTGCAGAATAGCAAGAACAATAGCCTAGCATGTGCAAAAGTTCAACAACAAGGGCCAAGCGTGTGCAGAGTAACAAGAACAAGAGCCTAGCGTGTGCAAAATTGCAAGAACAAGGGCCTAGTGTGTGCAAAATTGCAAGAACAAGGGACTAGCGTGTGCAAAATTGCAAGAACAAGGGCCTAGCGTGTGCAAAATTGCAAGAACAAGGGCCTAGTGTGTGCAAAATTGCAAGAACCAGAACCTAGCGAGTGTAAAATAGCAAGAACAAGGGCCTAGCCAGTGCAGAATAGCAAGAATAAGAGCCTAGCATGTGCAAAATGGCACAAACAAGGGCCTAGCGTGGGCAAAATTGCAAGAACAAGGGCCAAGCATGTGCAAAATAGCAAGAACAAGGGCCCAGCAAGTGCAAAATTGCAAGAACAAGGGCCTAGTGTGTGCAAAATTGCGAAAACAAGGGCCAATTATGTGTAAAATAGCAAGAACAAGGGCCTAGCGTGTGCAAAATTGAAAGAACAAGGGCCAAGCGTATGCGAAATTTCAAGAACAAGGGCCTAGCGTGTGCAAAATTGCAAGAACAAGGGCCTCGCATGTGCAAAATTGCAAGAACAAGGGCCTAGTGTGTACAAAAATGAAAGAACAGGGGCCTAGCGTGTGCAAAATAGAAAGAACAAGGGGCTAGTGTGTGCAAAATTGCAAGAACAAGGGCCTAGTGTGTGCTAAATAGCAAGAACAAGGGGCCTAGCATGTGCAAAATAGCAATAACAAGGGCCAAGCGTGTACAAAATTGCAAGAACAAGGGCATAGCGTGTGCACAATAGCAAGAACAAGAGCCTAGCGTGTGCAAAATTGCTGGAACAAGGGCCTAGCGTGTGCAAAATTGCAAGAACAAGGGCCTAGCGTGTGCAACATCGCAAGAACAAGGGCTTAGCGTGTGCAAAATTGCAAGAACAAGGGCCAAGCGTGTGCAGAATAGCAAGAACAAGAGCCTAGCGTGTGCAAAATTGCTGGAACAAGGGCCTAGCGTGTGCAAAATTGCAAGAACAAGGGCCTAGCGTGTGCAACCTCGCAAGAACAAGGGCTTAGCGTGTGCAAAATTGCAAGAACAAGGGACTAGCGAGTGCAAAAAAGCAAGAACAAGGGCCTAGCGAGTGCAGAATAGCAAGAACAAGAGCCTAGCGTATGCAAAATTCCAGGAACAAGGGCCTAGCGTGAGTAAAATTGCAAGAACAAGGGCCTACCATGTGCAAAACAGGAAGAACAAGGGCCTAGCAAGTGCAAAATTGCAAGAACAAGGGCCTAGCGAATTCAAAATAGCAAGAACAAGGGCCTAGCATGTGCAAAATAGAAAGAACAAGGGCCTAGAGTGTGCAAAATTGCAAGAATAGCATGTGCAAAATCGCAAGAACAAGGGCCTAGCGTGTGCAAAATTGAAAGAACAAGGGCCTAGCGTATGCAAAATTGCAAGAACAAGGGCCTAGCGTGTGCAAAATTGCAAGAACAAGGGCCTAGCGTGTCCAAAAATGCAAGAACAAGGGCCTAGCGTGTGCAAAATTGCAAGAACAAGGGCCAATTATGTGCAAAATAGCATCAACAAGGGCCTAACGTGTGCAAAATAGCAAGAACAAGGGCCAAGCGTATGCAAAAGTCCAAGTACAAAGGCCTAGCGTGTGCATAAATGCAAGAACAAGGGCCTAGCGTGTGCAAAATTGCAAGAAAAGGGCCTAGCGTGTGCAAAAATGCAAGAACAAGGGCCTAGCGTGTGCAAAATTGCAAGAACAAGGGCCTAGCA